TGGGCAGTACTTTTCATGTCCCTCAGTCCCAGCCCCGCTGCAGCAGGGCCACCCAGAGCAGGGTGCCCAGGCCCACGGCCAGGCGGCTTCTGGAGACCTCCAAGGAGGAGACCCCACAGCCTCTGGGCAGCCTGTGCCAGTGCTCCGTCACCTGCACAGCACAGAAGTGCTCCTGCTGTTCAGAGGGAACCTCCTGTGCCCATGGCTTCTTGTGTTGGCACTGGGCACCACTGGAAAGAGCCTGGCCCTGTCCCCTTTGTGTTTCCCCTACCAGAATTTATAGACACTGATATCATTCCCTCCTGAGCCTCTTTTTCTCCGGGCTGAACAGTCCCAGCTCACTCATCCGGTCCTCACAGGAGATGTATTCAAGTCCCTTCATCATCTTCCTGTCCCTTCACTGGACTCTCTTCAGTATGTCCATGTCCCTCTTATACTAGGAGCCCAGAACTGGACTCTGCACTGTCAGCATGGCCTCACCAACACGAAGGATCACCTCCCCTGGCCTGCTGGCACTACTTTACCTAAGGCAGCCCAGGAAACTTTGTAGCAAGGATGCATTACTGGTCACTCAGGCAGTAAGCACATGTGGAGCATTTCCTTCAGTGGGAAGTAAGCCTGGGCTATAACATGGAGTTGAAGGAGGACTAGGGAAGATAACCTCTCCATAAATCAGCCTCACAACACAGACAGCAGACTGGATCTGCACTCCAGTCGATAACAGCTATTTCTATTTTCCTTGCTTAAATAGCCTCTCTGTGTCACTCAGTCACACTTGCTGCCATCTTTGAGCAATATATGACCTTTTACAGACACTCCACAACATTTGTTTTATCTCATGGATATCACTCATTTGTGCCTTCACTTCTGTCTATTGCTAGGTCCAGCAAAGGTGATCTCAATGACTTTTTTGATGATCCTGAATAAAATAAATCTCTTCTTTCAGACGACATTCATTTTCACAGTCATTCAAGCTACCTTCACACACAAATTTCCTCCACCTTGTTGTCCATTTTGACCCCACTGTTAAACTAAGAATAAGGAGATCCCCTTTTTGAGGAAGTTCCTTACTGCAATTTTAAAAGCTTCCTGCCTAATGTGAGAAATAAGCTGTATCTTATTTTTGACATCAGCTATAAGTGTCTGCACAGCAGGATATGGAGTTAGTAGATCCTAGCCCTCCAAAGACCACATCTGGATGGCAGTAGATGGTACACAGGGTGGATCTGCAGCAAGGGCAACTTTTGCAGAGCAGCATACAGATGCTGCCAGCAAGCTGGAAAAAAAACAACAGCCCAGTAAACATGATACAATACCTTCACCTTGCAAAAAGATGCAAAGTTAGGTCAGATGAATTAACTAAATTTCTACCCTACTCTGGGACTTGCTGCTCTTATCCTGAAGAAATATGCATTTTTACTGCTGTTATTCTGTTGGTTTTTTTTAATTATTGCAGTGGTAGTACAATACCTTTCTCATCTCTGGTTTGAGTCCTGCCTTTTACAACTATTAGACTTAACATTTCATTCTCTTATTTAAGAGTGGAAATGTCATTTCCCTGTCTGCAAGTCATCTCTGCTGCTGACCCCTTATACACAAAGAATCAGACTGGAAATAAAATCCAAATGGCATCAAGTATGTGACAAAGTGCCTGAAACATTTTATTTGACATCCATGGAGATGACATTAACGGCTCACTCATTGTTTCATCATTTCTGAGTAATGCATTCATCCAAACGCATGCCAGTAAAGCCCTGTCTGAAGCTATGCTCCATTTGCTATGATGCTAGCGATGTTCACGTGACAGACTGGAAGCACGTGGATGCCTGGTAGATGTGCTGGTAACTAAACATGATCCTAAAGGTCTATACATCCTGTCCCCCGATCCAGCCCTCTTAAATGCCAATAACTTTCAAAATTCTGACAAGTTGGTATGGAGACAAATTGAAAACAGCATCACAGAAATATTTTTTTCTGCCTCTTTCTTTGCTGCTGACCCCATTTTGGGCTATACTACAAGATCAGATTTGGTCCATTCTTGGTGAGTGAATTTCTGCAGACAAGTTCTCCCTCTTTCACTGCAATGCTGTTGGCTGTTTAAGTGCCTACTGAGCAAAAAGAGTGAGCTTCATATATCTGGGAAATGGATCTCCAGATACAACACAATTGTCCTAGTATGAGCCCAAGTGGCTTTTATTCAGAGGAAAGTTACTTCAAGTCATTGTAGAGGATTTTCCCCCTATTTAGAATTTTTAATTTTATTTTAATCTCATTGCCACAACTGTGTCTAGGTCTGAAGGGCTCTAAAGAAAGCTCTCCAAATTAAGTTCCCAGTTTTCAAAATAAACCAATAGTTTAAAACTCCTGGTATCTTTAGTATCAGAGACACAATATTACACAGTATAAATTTGTCTTTTGTTTTTTTTTTTAATTGAAGCTGATACATATATCTTGTTTTTCTCCAATTCCTTATCACTGCAATCACTACAAATTGATGATGATAAAATATTCTCAAGCATAATACATTTATCTCCTTTATACCCCTACCCATATGATCATTAAAAAATGAAAGGGAATTTATTGACTTCAATTGTGTTTAACCATATTCCTCACAAATCAAGATTCTTCCATGTATTTGAATAAGAACACATCAATAATACTGCAGTTTTCAGTGGTGCAAACCTAGTGTGATCACATGACTTCCACCTATAAACTATAGAGGTTATTTAAAAATGGTAATAACAAGATTTGCAGCATTCCATCTTGTATTTGCTTCACCTATTTTTCCTTTTTATGCTACGTTATTTTCAAGAATCATACTGTATCTGAACCTATAGTTCAATAAAAATTACAAGCAAAGATCTAACACATCAGAAAAGGAATTCATGGTCTTACAAGCAGCTTCCGGACTATTTTCTTGCTCATTTCTTTTATGCCTGCTGGGAGACTGATCCAGAGTAAAATTAAATCAAAGGATCAAAATTCTGGCTTCAGGAAGTGCAGTGATAAAAGTCTCATTGGTTTCGGTAGGGCCAGAATTCCATCTACAAGGATTACTTCCTCTGACCTAAATGTGCTTTGAAACAATCCCTAATAGCCTTTGAGAGGCAAATGGTTCCCTTCATTTGCAATTAACTTATAGTATGTTCTGTGGTGTTATCAGATGTTGGGTTTTTATGTCCAATTACAAGATGATTAAATAATCTACACATTCAAAACACCCCTGCACCAATTTTAATAAACAACAAAAAAATGTTTTTAAGATAATTTGAATAATTATAAAATGCAGCATTTTGCTGCAACACTGGCAATACAGACACCTCATTACCACTTAATGACATCAAAATCTTTAATAACTGCTGAAAATGCACTTCTCTATGTGGGAAAAAGAACCCCAAAGGGTCTTATCTTCGAGCCTCAGCACAGACTTTGCACTAGCTGTTAAGTAAGGCATTTCTGGCACACATCGTTCAATTAGTATATCCAATGGTTGGGACAATAAGGAGCAGTCAAATGCTCAGATGTGAAATTAATGATGTCAAGGTTCAGGAGATGGCTTTAGAACTGAGATGCTCTCGGTGTTATCTGCATTGAGTGCAGATGAACTGTAACACAGGCACTTCAGAAAACAAGTGGCTCTTTAGCCATGCTGACACTGTCAAAATTATCCGCATATGATACTGCTTCAGTTTAAAAATTGCTTTCAGTTTGAGAAGGACTGGAGGACAAATGGAGGTGAAATTTGACCCTGTGCAATAGAAAAACATCACTGGAGGATTGTCCCCATTGGATGGATGCATCTCAGACATGTCTCTGAACAGGAAGAACAACACCAACCTCTTATGCCTCTGACTGGTTGCATCTTTCACCAGTATGACAACAGAACTATCTTGTGCTGCTCTGGGGTCCATCTGACCCAACAATGAGCTGATTCAGCTCACTAACTTGACAAGGACAGATTATTTTTTTATTATCATTTTTTACTTTTTATTTACTTGATGCATTCATTTTCTAGGATCAACAGAAGCAAAGTAGTGAGAGTATGCATGCGCAGGTGAAACAGCTCTGCCTCTTGGAGAAGCATAATAGTTATACCAGCCTACAAGATTTTCAACTACTTTTCAAAAGGTTATTTGGACCTCACATAGAGAAAACCCCTCAGATTTTTATTAAAAAAGAGTAATTGACAGATTGACTTTCGCGAAGAAGCCAGCCTTTAAAAGCATCTTTACCTTTCTGCCCTTCCCCTCACCCACTGGCTTTCCAATGAAATATATACAGTGTGTTAATAAGAGCCAACAATTTATGGAGCTATTCTGCAGATCAGATCACCAAAACTATCAATCATCATAAAAAAAAATCCACCCACCCTCAAAGTTATTCTTCAGCCAAATCAGTTAATTGAAGTGGTTTACAGGATGGCCTTTCAGACAACAGTAACAATCAAGCCAGCAGTAAACACAGAAAGCATTACCTACGAGTGGATTTATGTATTTATTTATTTCAGTTGACTCTGCTGTGAAGTACGTGACAGACAAGCCAACCATACAGGAAAGGTAAGGAAAGTTGCTGACTGGGGACAAAATACGAGCAAGAAGAACCTCAGAAAATTCCCAGCCAAAGACAAGGCATAAGAAGGAGATGAGGAACAATAGCTAAAGCTCAGACTCTTAACAACACCAGAGAAGTTTTCAGACTCAAACACATTGCATATTTGTATGCTAGAATGAAAGAACACTCCAAGTAAATGTTCTGGTTCCCTCCCAAATAGACTGGTCACAATTAATGACAATTCCTGTGAGACATCTGCAGATACTGATAGACCAAAGGAAAACTAAAAAAAACCATAACATAATGCAAACCCCACCATAACTCGGCTGTAGAACTACTCTCCCTTAGCACTACTGTCAGTTTTCAGAAGCATCTGACATCTAAAGCTGGCTGGGTACAGAAGTGATTTTGTAAGCCTAATTCACATAATAACAAGTTCAAAAGCTTACCTCTTTTGCACTTTTAATTTTGGCCAAGAAAGTGTACAGCTCCATTGTTTCAGCAAACAGAGCTCGGCACACTGCTTGATAGTGGTTCGGTGCCTCTGATGGAGTTGGCAGGTGGGCGGCACACAGCTAGAGAGAAAAATAAATAGCAATTACAAACAGTGCCCCATTGCTTTAATTATCACTACAGAGCATGAGATAAAATGAAAGGAAATACAATGGGATATTTAAGGCACAAAAATCCAGTAAGGACATTTAAGCTAAGGTGGAAGGAGACTGGCTGATCTCATCCTGTAAAAGTGGATAAACCAAGACATTGCCTTTTTGTTCAAAAAAGAAAATGAAGAAAAAAGAGAAAAAAAAAAAAGAGAGAAAAGGGAAAAAAAAGGAAAAAAAAGAAAAAAGAAGAAAGAAAAAAAAGACAGTAGTGAAGGGGAAAAAAGCAATCTGGCAGTATTAAATTTGGGAAAGTGTACCTAATTCAAACCAGTTTTAACAGTGTACATTTCTTTACTTTCTTATGAATGTGGAAGAGAACTGTATCCCTATCAGTTTATGAAAGGACAGAAAGCATGGTCAAGTTTGAATCTGATCTCATTTACTGAAGTGGTACAAAGATTATAAAAATCAGCAAGAGCTGCAAAAGCACTGGCTTTCAAATGAGACATTCATGGATGTTTTCAGACACAGATGCAACTGATTTAAAGAAATATTAATAGATTTTTTCATACACACTAACCATGAAAATCTCCAAAATCCTATTCAAATCACTAATAACCATTCACAACTTCCACTAAAGCAGAAATCAGATTGGCACTGCTTTTAGAGGAAAACATGCAGATCCCCTCTCTGACAGGAGAAGCCTCACTGAAATAAGTCTATTTCAAATAACTTACGTGTAAGTAACATCCACCTTCATGAACAGGATTATTACAGAATAGCTGAGCACTCATGCTCATACTTAAAAGTCTTTTTCTTACATTTTCCTTGAGTCACATCCATTTCTTGTTAGTGATGCAAGAAATCTTTGTCAGAAACAAAACAATAAAATAATGTCTACAACAGTGTGCTAGTGTTAAATGCCTACATACCCAGTGCAAAACATAAAATTTGCATATCCTGTACCATATTGGTGTATATATTAAAATAAAACAAAATCTTAACCAAGGCTTTAAAATCTGCCTGATTACTGCGGTTTCATAATGGCTATTTTCTCTACAGCTAAGACTATGGACAAGCCTAAACCTGAGGAAATAGACGGTTACATTCAGAAGATCTGCAGAAGCAAAGCTTGAAACAAAAGCCTTTTTAGGAGAAGAGCCCTTGATTAGCCTAGTGGCATATTTCTCTAAATCTCTCCTGTGTTACAGCGGTGATTACAGAGGGCACAATACATGTAGAGCTCTGGCTGCACTTCATGTTGTTTTCAGTCTGACTTAAAACCAAGCTGCCATTCCCAGATGCTGTTCTGTGGCCTCTGGCTGTGGGTTCCCACTGATGCTGGCACCCACGTTTGTTCCCCAGTGCCGAGAGAATTTCTCACCCAGGCAAAAACTAACACAGTGAAGGAAGGGAGCATGAGATGATGTTCTTCATGGCTTGGACACATGTAGCAGAGCAGCCAAAAAGGAGTAACGGGATCATGCTCCTGGAATGGGGAGAGGAGAGAGAAGGGAGGAAGGGCTGAGCAATGTTAAATTAGCTTAATCTCACTGGCTGACTGCTTTCTAAGGCCACAGCCTCCATTTTATTTTTTATTTCTTTCAATTAGTATAACAACACTGAATCCAATGGTCAGATTTGATCAATTTCCTCGATAAAATCTCACAAGCACCATCTGCACTCCTGCGATAATCTACCCTGATTACTGCAACCATGTGTGTATAAACATTTTGAGCCCCTAAAAAAGAATATATACATATATATAGGACAGTGTATATAGATTTTTTCCTTCCTTCCTAAATGTTTTCAAATTTTATGATGCTATATGATGCTTTATGATGACAACCAAACTTTTCTTATGCTCTTTATACCTATTTCTGGGTAATCATAGTGTCAAAGTTGAGACATTTAAAAAACATATGATTATTATTTTTTTTAGCAAATCATCTTCTACTTTGCAGGTGAAGGGAGAAAAAATGACATAGAAGCATTTCTCTCTTTCTAATGTATGCTACTGTGACAACTCATACTACAAAGACAACGGCTGGTAAGTATTTCCCTTTGCTTAGTGGAAAAGTCAGAATTATACTACATTAAAGCAGAGTATGGTTAATTGGCATTCTTTTCTCTCAATAACTAATCATGTTCTTACCTGCCTTACTATGTTTTCAGAAGGCTATTTCTAGTTATTAACTACAACACAGATAAAAAGGGTTTCATTCTACGATGCACCACTTACAGGAATAATAATGGCTGTAAAAGGATAATAACAACAATTTCAAAAAGGTCCTAAAATTGTAAAGGTTTTCATAGCAGAGAATAAAATGTTATTTAATCAGATCGCACACATTTTTAAGACTACCTTTTTTTCTTTATTTAGAAACATGTTAATTAGAAACAATTTGCATCAAATATTCAGAACGTTAATGAATGCAGCAGTAACAAGTTCAAGCAGAGGATGGATATAATCTTGATTCTTTATTGAACGTGAAGTAAAGAAAAAAAAAAATATGTCTGCTGTTACAGCCAGCAAAGAGTAACCACACAAGAAGTGAACCATTTGGTTTGTAAGCATGAGAATGCAGATTTTAAGAGGACCAGCAGCTCTTACGAGCTTTCATGCTCTGAAAAATCAATCTGAGTAATTTTAGATTATGTGAAGTCACATTATATGTCTTAACATACTTTTTTTGGATAGGGGAACTAAGCCTGAAGAAAAACTAAAATGCTAGTAAGATAAACTGATTTTTTTCCCCTTCATTTGTATCTACTGCACTTGCACGCTGTTCAGAAAAAAAAAAAAAAGGGAATCGAGACACATGAAGTACAAAATGTCACTTCTAATGAAGTGCAAGGTGTCACCCTAGCCTAAGTGCACCATATTTATCCACTTGAATTATTTTGTTTTCTAAATCACATTTTTAATTTGATAGTAGTAGTGTCTGAAAAGTCACATTTCTGAAACCACTGCAAAAATCAGTCAGAATGTTTTAATAACTGAGTTATAGACACAGCCACCTCATGAGCTCCTCCATCTCTTACCATGTCATTGCAGTCATGGTGCAAGAAGGATTTAGGTCAAGTCTGCAATCTTTTCCAGCCATTCAAAGCTCATCAAGGAAGGGAAGCCTCTGTAACTGCTTATTCTGACACTTGCATTTCCATCCCTCATGATACAACTTAAAACTAGCCCAACGGGAATGAACGCAAACAGCGCCCAGAGCCTAATACAAGAGCTGTTTGTTCTCCTTCCAAGAAGTCTCAAACAGTATGGTTGAAAACAAATTATATGGTCTTTGCAAATGAGGGGAGTATCAAAAATATTATCAACTACTGAAACGTTAACTAGCTTGGTCTGTAATATTTCAATTTGTAATCACTGTGAAGGGATTTCTTTTTCTGATTTTGTTTTTTTCTGAGCCTATCCAAAAAACAGCTTGACCCAAAGCGTTCAATCTTTGCTTAGATCACTAAGAAGATTAGAGACTGTTTCCATCCACATTTGAGGTTCACAGAAAAAAAGGCATTACGTAAATACCGTGGCCTTGCCAGCTCCTTGGTCCAAATCACCCTCAATTGACTGGGAAACAGAGCGTGTCAGCCAAATCAGCGTTAAGAGAAATCACAATTTAACCATCAGAAGAGATTAAGAAGCATTTCTTGGCTCTGTTTGAATATTAGGGACTACAAACAATTACAATGAATACTCACAGTTGAGTCACCTCCTAAAATCAAGGTAAGTTTTGCAAAACCATCTTTTTGTCTAAAGCTGTAATACAAACTTTACCAAAACACCTGGCAGAGTGTCTGTATGAATGCACCCCAGAGAATAAAAGGATCTCTTTCTCCAATGGCAAAGCTATTGATATTATGCAAATAGCACTTCCAGCCTGCAAATGCCAGGCCTGTTAAGTGATCTAAAGCTCTGGAGAATTAACATAAGACTTAAAAGATGTACCTTTCCCTTAGCCAAAAGGAGAAAAACTACTTTTAACGAATAGATCACTGAACATGCAACTGGACTGGGTGTTAGCTTCATCCCCTGCAGGACAGCACTGCAGCAGGCTCAGATAATATAACTGAGCTTGAGCTGTTTTCCCAAGTCAAAGTTATTTCAGGAAGATTTTATCTCCATGCAAATGAACCAGATGTTGTGATTCTTTGGGGGTGGGTTTTTTATTTTTATTTTAATACCTGTATCATTTTCATAGAATCATAGAATCCTTAGAGTGGGAAGGGACCTCTAAAGGTCACCTAGTCCAACTCCCCTGCAATGAACAGGGATACCTACAGCAGATCAGGTTGCTCAGAGCCCTGTCCAGCCTGGCCTTGAATACCTCCAGGAATGGGGCATCCACCACCTCTCTGTGCAACTTGTTCCAGTGCCTCACCACCCTCACTGTAAAATATTTTTTCCTTATATCTAATCTAAATATACTCTCTTTAAGTTTGAAACCATTTCTACTTGTCCTATCACCACATTTTATTGCTATTAATGTGAACTTCAAGGAGCCATCTGCCTCACCAGGAAAAGCAGACGTTCTTACTGAAAAAAAAAAAAACCAACACCACCTGTCTATTTACAAAATTCAACCTAGCACTTAGTTCATCTTTATTATTCAGAACAAAGTTAAGGAGTAAGACATGTTTTGACAGGAGTCTGGAAGATGTTTCTGTCTGCTACGACCACCCTTGTACATCCTATAAGGGAGCTTTGCTCAGGGAAAGTGGAGTTGCTCACCCAGCTGCTGCTCTCCTGACCTTTCTGGACAGAGGTTTGCCCCAGCTCCTCAGCAAGCCAAGGATGAGCTGATCCCCGAGGTACTATGAGAGGACTTCAGGGGAAGACTAACGAGCTAAGACCATGCTAACACAACAGGGATGGAAGCAGAGTAGCTGTTAATCCATGAACTCAATGAACAAATTCACAGAAAGTATGTAAAGTATTCACAGAAAGATACTATTCC